AAATTTGACTGACAGCAATGTAAATTAAATGGGGAGCAGTCAAATTTCGTGTACGAAATGCACTCGAATGGTTTCGAAAATCGCACCCCTGGGCCCTGGCCCATGGGGGGTGTTGTCATCACAACAAGCATCAGTTTGTCAATGAGATGCGATGTCTACCTGTGAAGATGATGTTATTGGTTGCGATACACCAACACCCCTATAGGCGGAATCACAACATTTTGCTGATTGGGCCTATTGGATATGACCCGAGGATATTATATACTACACAGAATTGCTCATCTGTCGGTATTTTTTGAATCAAGGTCATAATAGGCATTTTCGGAAACGCTGGTTCTGATTAACACGATTACCAGATTTTTGTTTTTCATCTTTCTTCAATGAACCCGATTGAAAAAAGACTATTTATATCAGTTGTGGTGATCGGGTTAATCGGTTAATCGCAACACCGTTTCCGAAAACGCTCATTATGGTACCTTGTTCCGAAAAGTACCAACAGATGAGCAATCCTGTGTAGTGTATAATATCCTTGGGTCTAATCAGCGAGTCGAGTGGCTGGTTAATATCGGCCATCAGGGCGCGTTTCTGTTTCCCGCATTTTGTATTTCTGGGATTCCCAGTCATTTAATTAGTTGTCTATGCCATGTTTGGAGCTTGGCTTGAACTGGCTTGAAGCCCTTCTTAAGCTGTGATCAATAGTATTTCTCTGACTTATTTGCGAGTTTAATTAATCATCATAACGTGAGGCTGGTGAGGATGTGCCTAGCTGTACTAAAAATAGACTCGAACAAAAAAAAAATATTTTAAATTATTGTTTAAGATAGGGATAAATTCCTTATTCGTTTCCCAAATAAAAGAAGAGTGGTTGCAAGGATGTTTGAGAGAGGTTACCTGTTACCAGGTTACCTGTTTGCCTGATAAATTTTATGACGTCATCTGGGTCGCTCAAACATAATTCCAATCTCCACAAGGCACCCCACATGACGTCATCTGTTTCCCATTACCAGACAACCGATTAACTTTAGAAACCTTGGGAGGTTGTAGCGACCACGTCTTTTGAAAATGTGTCGTCGCGCTCATCTACGACTGAAAAAGATAATATCGATACACCAATCAAAGTCGACAATTATTATTAAAAAATCTCGGTAAGCAGCTATTTGGGAGTGGCACCAAAAAAAAAACCTTAAGCTATTTTATGCCGCCTTTGGCTAAGCACCCATACAGATTTCAGAAAGCCGGCGCCTATGTGCTTGAAGGGCACAGGTAGCCTTTTTCATCCTGTTCTCTGCGTGTTCATACCAGGACAGTTTAGAATCTAGCATCACGCCCAGATACCTAACCACCCTGGAGTATTTAAGAGTCACACCTCCCAGAGAAATGTTGGGCGGTGTGCCGAGGTTGTGTCTCCTGGAGAAGAGTAGGAGCTCTGCCTTATAAGGGGTTTATCCTGTGTCCTTTCGCAAGGCATCACCGGTCCACTATGCACAGAGCCCTTGCCATAGGGCCCTGCAGTAAAACGGCGTCCTTACCCGGACAAAGGATAACCAGGTCGTCAGCATAAGCCTGAGTATACAAGCCTGCCTTGTTTAGATTAGTAATCAGGTCGTCAACCACCAGGCACCACAGCCTCTGGCGGCAGTGTTACCAATGTGTGAGCATTTGCTCACATTTGTGAGCATTTTATAGATCTGGGGGTAAAAATGGGAGCATTGGTAAGATGCGAGCATTTTGTGGGCATTTTTGGTATTTATTAACCGAAAAAATTAAATTAAATTCGTCCCAGCACAAGTCCACAAGAGCCATGTCATAACTCGTGGCATAGCAAAGACCAAGCGCCCAACCACAACCGCCCAACTTTTTACTTTTTAGAAAAGAGTTATGTATTTCACGTCACGTGTCAAGATTGTCAAGAGGCCATTTTAGAAAAGCTGATTCCATCCAAGGATGATACACACTCACTGCTACTACACGATGGCCTATTCTCATAATAAGGCCTGTGTGTAACGAATCCCCCCCCACGCTAAAATACCAGTTTTGACGTAGACAGAATGTCATTTCTTGCCTTGACGTAGGCTATTTAAATAGCTGACGGCTTAGTTATGACTTCGAAAATGGTATCACACCAATATGGCGGAGATTACCAAAAACGAGACTGATAAGCATTCCTCATACTCCATTCTCACTTGCGCGAAATTCGCTCTTTTTTGACATTGCATCGACAAATTGACGTTTGATACAGGCATAAAACATCAAATTGTCGAAGATATCCCCTCGTTTTTATTCTTATCGACTTCACCGATGAATTAGCTATCTTCGTTCAGTAAATGGAAAATGACAATGACCGACATATCCATTGGTAAAATTTGATGAGAATGAAAACTCAGGGACTGTCAAAAAAGAGCGAGTTTTGCGCAAGTCAGAATGAGTGTGTATTGTGTATTCTTCTTGAATTGCAACAGCCGATCACCAGCTGTTTGTTATTTATCTTTTTCTAATGAACACGATTGAAAAAAAAACAATGTACATCAGTCTGGTGACCCCGTAGTAGTCAAATGTCAAATGTCATACTTAACACTGGAAAACTCGAAAACTATTGACATTTTGACATTGAAGTTATTATCAGTACATGTGAGCATAATCCGCGTGTGGCTAAATTCAGCTGGTGTAGGCACGTGGAATGGTAGAACAAGCACTATTGTTAAATTAAACAGGGTTTGACATTGGCATTAGTGAATTTTGATCACCGCATCCGTGGCGGTGCACCATTTTGGTGAATTTACCAACATGCGGCATGTGAGTGTTTTCACTGCAAATGAGGAGCATTTCGATAACTTCCCGTTGGCAACGCTGTCTAGCGGCCACCGCTCTAACCACCGCATTATTAAGCTCTGCGGATACTCGGCGTTGCGAGAGCATGACCTCTATCCATCTCACCAGACATGGCTCGAAGCCACGCCCTTTGAGCGCTCCGCAGATGATTTTGAAAGGGCTATTATCAAATGCCCCTTCAATGTCAAGGAATGCCGCCAGACTGGCCCTTCCACACACCAGATTTCCTTTCACCTTCCTGACCAGGTGGTGCAAGGCCAGTTCTGTGGATTTTGCCAGTCTGATAGGCATATTGTTGGGTGTGTTGCCTGGAAATTAGTATGCCTTCCTTCACATACCGGTCCAGTAGCCTCTCCAGAGTCTTGAGCAAGAAACTAGTGAGGCTAATGGGTCGATACGATTTTGGGTTGGAGTAGTCGCTCTGTCCGGTTTTCGGAATGAAGACGACCTTCACCTCTCTCCACTGCTCTGGAATGTATCCATGGGCGAGGCAAAATCTGAAAATCTTTACCAGGTGGACAGTGATGATATCCGACGCGTTTTGCAGCTGGCAAGGGTGGATTGCATCCTTACCAGGAGATTTAAAGGGGGGAAAGGACCTAATAACCCATATCACCCTCTCATAACTTACTACTTTTTTAGCGGTGTCGTGCCCACCGCTAATCGGGGCCCGAACGCCAACCAAGACAGCGTTGTTTGAACTGGAGCCCGGGAAGTGCGTGCGGAGCATGACCTCCAGGGTTTCCTATTCGTTGGTCGTGAAGCCACCGCCTGGAAGAGACAGTGACCCTATTCTACTACGGAGTTCGTTTGACAGAGCCTTGCAGAGGCGAGCTGCTGGGGATATTTTTTCAACATCTCCGCAGTATTGCCTCCAGCTCTGTCTTTTGGAATCCCTGAGCGCCTGTTTGTTCTGCCTTTGGGCTGCGTGAAACGCTTCCCAGTCGGCGACAAGTTTGGAACGTTCAGCCCTTCTCAAGAGCCGGCGCGTGATGTTCCGATGGAATTCCGAAGTGTGGTTCCACCAGACATTTTTTGCCATTTAGGGGGTTTCCGTCTTAGTGGACAGCTACCCTCGTATGCCCGGAGAGTTGCGCTGGAAAGTTTGTTTATTTCAATCTCAATGTCAGCTGGAAGACTATACCTTGCCGGCATATCCGAGAGCCCACCTGTGAGCTCCTCCCGAAAAAGGACCCATTTGGTGTGCGTCGGATTTCTAAAGACTGGGTTGTCGCAGCTGGTGTCTTTATTCAGCTCGAAGAGAATGTGCCTGTGGTCCGACATTGAGACCTCCAGGGACACTCTCCATGCTTTAAAAAGGTTCACAATATTTGGTGAACAGATGGTTAGGTCAATCACAGATTGGCCACGGTTGCAGTAAAAGGTAGGGACGCTTCCCCGATTACGGATCTCCAAGCCGCTGGAGCTCAGGAAGCCAGCCAGAGAGCGTCCCCTGGGGTTCTCGTCTCTGCAGCTCCATAGGCCGTGGTGCGAATTAGAGTCGCAGCATATGAGCAGAGGGAGCCGGCCCCGTGCTTTCACAGTACCTTGAGACTGCAATGACGTCCGGAGGAGGAGATTCGATATCGATAGGAAAGTAGGAAGAGCAGACTACAAAGTCCTCCCTGACTCCTTCTTTTCCCAGCAAAACTTTAATAATTGCCAGGTCCCTAGTGCAGAGACTAGGTAGGGGAAAACATTGCACGTTCCTTGTCAGGATGCAGGCGCGAGGGTTCTCACAGGGTACGCAGCAATGTAGCGCGCCCCCCGCCAGATCCAAGCCCCTCACCCCGACACCGAAAATTCAGGGTTCCTGGATCAGGGTAATGGAAATATCAAACTCGTTGAGCCTTTTGCACAGGACAGTGGAAGATGCTTTTCCGTGCTGTAAATTTGCCTGTAGAAATTTTATTGGCAAAAAAATGATGATCCCAAGTTTGATAGGAATTGCCGACTTTTGATATATATGTTTTGCTTATAACACAATATATTTTTTTTATCTTTGCAACTTGTCTTTGAACATCTACGTGGTAAAATAGTATTGATATTGAAGGACTGGAGGTCTCCTAAAATTAGGATCGAACTTCACTGGTAAGTTCGTTTAATCTAATAATTACCTACTGTCTTATTTGAAGTTTAGAAAAAAAGGGACTCGAAATAAAAATACCTTATTTTGTGGGTTATTCAATTTTATTGTTTAAAGGGTTTTTCGTCTGATTTTTTTTTTCAGGGGGTATTAATAAATATTTTTTATATTATAAAAACATAATATGTACAGGTAAGAAACCATTAGTATAATAATAATATTAATAATAAATATTCCTCCCTAAATGTAATAATTTACATTATATTAATTTATTGTAAATCCAGTTTGTTACAATTAATATTAAGATTTTGTTTTTAAATTATTAATATTTAGGAAGTATAGGCGCGGGCAGAAAGGAAAAATTCCAAAAATTATAAACCACACAATTCCGTAATAAGCGATTTGCTTTTACATTTAAAGGCTAGTGCTCAGTTACACAAATGTAATAAAAATTCATAATTCAAGCAGAAATTTGTTTCGAGGCTCAATATCATATGATACGAGGCTTATATTAGGACAAAAAAAATTATAAATCTTATCTAGCAATACAACAAATATGGAATGACACTGATAAAATTTCATTTAAATTCACTGAACATTTTTTCCTATGTCATTGAGTAACTGTTCAACTAAATTATATGAAATGAGTTACCCTAATAGATGACTCAGATACACTAAAAATATGTATTGACTTTTTTATAAATATGTTGTTTTTAGATGCATAGTTGAATCTTGGGTAATTTTATTCACAATAATTCAATGAAAATATAGTACTACCTATAGTAATGATAAATTAAGTTGGTCTACATCTTATATACAGTTACTGGCTGACATAGGCAAAAATTATAAAAACTTTATTGTTTTTTTTTTTATTTTGCAAATAAAGGAAGCAAGTACGATACATACATGCCTATAATTGTTTTTGGATTGGCACAAAATAAAAAGCTTTACAAAAAAAAACATACAAAATCCATAAAATAACATATAAATACAAAAAAAAGGCACATGTACAAAATAAAGGAAAAAAGGGAAATAAATTTTTCTTGTACATAAAAAAAAAAAAATGTAATACTTGCTAATATCTCAGAAACTGCTTTTTAGCTTCATCATTTTTGCCGGCGGCAATGAGAAAAAAAAGATGGAAAAACCATTTTCCTTTTTTTTTACAAAAGCCTCAACGATATAAACAAAAACGCATGAACTAAATAACAGAGTGCTTAAATTCGATTAACTAAATTAGACAACAAGCGCCATATCTTTTTTATTTGGCAAATTCACTTTTTTCCCTTGCCACAACGAATTGTGAATTGTGAAGGCGTCTATCGTTACGGTCAGGTGTTTGGTGTGGACTACCGAAAAGCATTTTCCGCCCGAATTGTATCTGAAAATAATTATTTTTTTATTAGTTATCAACACATTACTACATAATTTGTATTAATGCAGTCATTATGATGTAAAAATTCCTTTGACCTGGGCAAAATTGCAACACAAATGATTCTTTTTGCATTCTATTATAAAAAATGTGTATTTTAAAACATCCAAAATCCCCATTAATCCCGGCCCAGGAAATCAGTCAAAATCCAAGATGACGGCTGAATTCTGGATTTTCATTACAAAATTTATAACCAAGACTCTCTCTCGAGTATCTTGTCTTGGTCTTCGTCTTGTTGGGTTAGAAATACAACATAGTGTAGATAGCATTTATTTACATAGAACACAGATCACACAAAAAAAATCTAGAAACAAAAATAAACAAACCCCAAATCTCACCCAAACTAACCCAAATCTAATTATTATGAATAGGCCAATACAATTCAAATGAGCTATTATGTGAGGGTTCTCGAAAACCTTTCTGTTGCCTGCCTGTGGCTCAGGTAGGTGGGGTAAATTTATATTCTTAGGGCGGGTATTATAAAACTACTTTGAGAGTTAACTTAAAGTTAACTTCTGAAAATACATGTAATTCAAAAAGTTAACTGTCAAAGCAGTTTTATAATACCCACCCTTATGGTTCAAATAGAATTTTTTTTTTCCTCGGTACAGAATGGCAATTTTATGGTGTGTTTGTGAACTTTCCTTTTGCGTTAATACAAATTCCTCGACAAATTCTAATTAAAGAATCGATGTTTGTTTGTTGCTCTGTGTTGTGGAATGCTTTATGCGGTATTTTTTGACATGAAACGCTCTTGCTGGTACAAATAGCGTGTGGAGAACTTAAATACATGGTCGAAACATTGGCATAATATTTTCAAAAAGGAAATTTATTTTTCCTACGAGCGTGCGCAAAGTAGTACTTTTCCGCACGCATTTCGGTTCTCAAAGTTGCACTTTTCCGCACTCAGTGCGGATACAGGCCTTATCCGCACTGAGTGCCGAAAAGTAAAAATAATTGTCAAGCAACAATAAGTACACCTGTCGACTTTGACACATGATGACAAATTTTTCCTCTGTTCCTGTTCCAGCTAACATCTATACCTACAAACACCAAATTTAATTAACTTCAACACATTGTCAGATTTGTTTTCTATATATATGCATCTACAAACTTTCTCATCAAATTTATAGCATTTTCCATTTGTCGAAACAGGGCAAAAAAATGTATCCTTATCCTTACATGTTACATGCTTTTAGAAAAAGATGCGGATGCACTCAGTGCGGCACTGATGACAAATGGAAATCGCCATTAAACGCTTTAAGATGAAGAGCTCTGACGATGATTTTCTGTTATATTTTTTTTTTGTTATGTAATTTTTTGATAAATGCATAGGTTCCCTTCAAGTTAATTAAAAATAATTAAACAAATTATCGTTTTTTTTTTAAATTTTTGTTGTTACCTACCTGATATGAAGCTCGTAGGAAAAATTTTGTTCCTAACACGTGCGCAAAGTGTCTTTTCCGCACGCAAACACGTATCCGAACTCCGCTTCGCGTCGTTCGTATAACTGTGTTTGCGTGCGGAAAAGTAACACTTTGCGCACTTGTTAGGAAAATAACTATTTCCTACAGCCGTGCGGAAAAATCGCACCGCAAAGCGTCGTTCGGTGAACGGCAGCCGCGTGCGGAAAAATTCATTTTCCGCACTTGTTAGGTAAATAGCTATTTATGAAGTCCTAAACCCATTGTCTCCGCTCTGTTCACTGTTGTTATATGTTATGTATATTTTAAAAATTTAGTATACATTTTTTAAAGAATATCAAGACCAGGACCAAGACTATCAAAACCAAGACCAAGACCGCATTTATTTTCCGAGACCAAGACCAAGACCGGCCAGTCTTGCGATGCGCTAGTTGTGAGTGTTGTGACATCATAAGTTCTTGCATTATTTATCTTCACAAGGAATTTTCTCGGAGACTATTTTGAATATAGGACTGCGGTTTTCACGAGATATCTTTAAAAAAATTCTTGATTTAAGTAACTGAAGTCGTTTTTTAGGGTCACACCCCCTTTAAGGATAAAAGGGAATTTTCATATTTCTCAAATTATTTTTTTTTAGATACTTCTAGTCATCAGTAATAACATAATTTTCTTTTTTTCCATTTTAATTTATACGTTGTACGAAAAAAAAATTATTGAAATTCAAATGAAATACTTTGGCGCGAAAACACGAAATTTCAATTTGACAGCGCTTGTGACGTTGAGATTTTGTAAACATAAAATACGCAGCAAACGAACTCTTGCTGACGCAGTGCTATTTTTGTGTTATTCAAGTGTGTTAAAGTTTGCTTTTTGTGAAAATTGTCGCAATGGATGAAGAATATTGTGAAGGACAGCTTTTGTATTTTTTTTACGTGCAAATTCCCTATCACAGATTTCCCTATTGACGGGTTTGTTTACAGAATCGTGACGTCAAAACAGGTATTCATCATAGGAGCATTTTTTTGGCGGGAAAATTTTTATTTCAAATTTAATATTATTTTTTGTGTAACAAGGGCGGTATCAGTTAAATAAAACTGGTCATATGAATATTGTGCAACATAAACTAGCGATTTAAAACAAATTTGGAAAATTTTACTTCACTTGCAAGTTCCCTTATATGACTCAAACGCTATGACCAACTTGAAACATATTATTGACCAACTTACTGCTGAGCTACACGATAATAGCTATTTATATAACAAGTACATAAAGTAAGGCTTTATTGTACGAATAATTTTATGGCCGAGCGAGCTTGCGAGCGAGGCTATTGAATAATGAGTCAATAAAGCCTGTTTATGTAAGCGTTATACATGATTTTTTTTACTACTAACCTGAGAAATAGTCATTATTCAATCTATTTTTTTAGGAAAAAATTGAATTTCTCTCCCTAGGTTGATAATGAAAATAATGAAAAAATACCTAGGTCAATAATGAAAATGACGTCATGATGCAAGGATATTGTCATGTTTCTATTGGTCCAATTTCAATTTCATACGTCAATTCAAAAAAAATACAGGTTTCTGTAGGTACATATAGGAAGTTATCATAAGCTGTTGTTAGAGGGCAGCACTTTCAAAAGGGCGTTCAAAAAAATAATTAAGAGCACAGATTTTGAATATTTTTTTTATTTTCTACTATTAGTAGTAAAAAAAATTCTATATATTCCTCGGTAGAGAAAGTCATTATATACCTTACACATTATAAACCTCGGCGCTCCGCGCCTCGGTTTATAAAAGCGCTCGGTATATAATGACCAACTTCTCTACCTAGGTATATAATATACTATTATGTACGATTCTGACTGGTTTTTGTTAAAATTTAAAAAAATTGAATGAAAAAAGTAAAGTTCGCGTGGGTATACATGTTTTACCTTGGCAGGTTGTCAGGACCTGTTTCACTTTGGCAGGTTGTCAGGACCTGTTTCACCTTATCAGGTAGTCCAGGTAAGCAATAAAGTAGCACTTTATTTTACTAGTAAAATAAAGTAGCACTTTATTTTACTAGTACAATAAAGTGCTACTTTATTGACGCAAAACTGTTCTATAAATAGCACTTTATTGGTCAATCGGACATAAAACAAATTTTATTAAAAAATTTGAAAAAAACAAGGAGGTTTTTGTAAATGAGGCAAAGTCCTCTGAACGCGACATGGTTGACCAAAATAATTTTTTGAAGTCCAGAATATCTGAATTAAGTCGGAGATCCCCCGTGGTTCCTATAACATCCAAGACTTTCACTTCAACACTTAGGGCCATATTCTTCGTAGTTCATAAAGCCTGGCTTAGTGGAAACGCTTGGCTTTTTGTATAATAAAGCCAAGCTTGAACTACGGAGAATATGGCGCTTAGTCAGTGCCCGAAAACATCTAATTTCGTGCGTGACGTCTCCTGCCAAACTTCGGCAACTCTAATTACTCAGGAATTGTACACCACTTTAGAAGCGGAACTTGTTTTGGTCAGGGACGAACTTCGAGTCGCATTGGATGAAGTCGCTGATTTCAAAAATCTGAAAGATCGACTGATTGTAACAATTAAAGCCCTGGGTAGTGACACCAGCTTTCTAAAAGATGAGCTTGAGTAATTGAAGCTGATAATGTCAGGGTCACTCTCTCCTCCCTCCTTACGCACCACCAGACACCTATCTTCATTGAAGAACTCGAATGCAGTTGCCTTCTTGTTTGATGAGTTATTTGTGGCTGATTCCCACACAGAGCAGAGCCTGCCGTTAGCTAAAGGTTCAGGGCACCAAACCTCTGAGGCAAAATCTATCCAAACATTGAGCAAATCTTCCTGGACTGAAGGAGACAAGAGTTTTAGTTTTTGGATACCAGAGCTCGCGCGTTGACATCCCGGTTACTCAGATTCGCACAACCCCACTCGCGCCCCTCTTCCTTTCATGGAGAATGCCGCCCTTTATACTCTGTTACGCAGATGGCAAGTAGGATCTTTCAGTTGACCATGGACTTCGGGGCTGCTGACAGTGTTGTGCTTTGCTTGGACTTGGACTCTGGGATTTTGAAATATCACAGCCTAAATGAGCTATTCTCGATTGGGAAATACACGAATTAAATTTTTTCCCTTATAAATTATTTTAGCTATTTGAAATTTATGTCTTCTTACCGAAGGTTTCTTAAATGTCAAAATGCATCTGTTCGAGTTTTGGAGAATGATATTGTCGGTGGAAGATTTAGAATATCCAAAAAAAGCTTTGTCGGAACCTGCCAAATTACATTAAAGCTAGCTTTATTTTCAACAATAAAACTTATCCTTTCCCTTAAAAACATCTGTAGTGGTAACGGTTGCACTAATGATGCATTGCTTTGTCATCCAGCTTGCCATACAGTAAGGGAAGATGAAGATGTCTTATCCTTTTTTAGACTAGACCATTCTGACGCGAGCTTTTCATTATTGCTCTTGAATGTTCAGTCAATCCGTAACAAGACTGATGATTTTTTTGTTGTTTTGG